AAACATTTAAAACCAAAATTATCCACTAATTAAACTAATATGTTAGTAAACCTATTCCACATAAACATAATAAACAACTATTATCATCAATTAATTCACGCTCTCCCAAACATAATTGGTAATACATGCAAATTAACTGTCGACAAAATAATTTTCGATAAAATGAACTTTCGACAAAAATGAACTTTCGACAAAATGAACTTTAGATGAAATGAACTTTCGACGAAACAAACTTTCGACGAAATGGGTGTCGACGAAATGATTGTCGACGAAATGAATCAGACCCAAACTGAACACAGACATGACTTTTCATTATAAAAACTGAACACAGACTTTTAATTTATTCATAATTTAACTTTAACTAATTAGTCGATTAAATTTTTTTTTTTTAATTTGCAAATTACGAACGAATTCATTTCCATTTGAATCTTTCACTTTTTCAAAATGCTTCCACACAAAACCATGAGTTACGATTCGTTTTTTAAAAGGTCTTCTGGAACTACCGCTTAAATCATTGGAACTTGAAGCCAATGAACTATTGGACCTTGTATCGGAAGTGTTTATTAGCTCACATGTAAAATTATTACCACCACTGTCATCATCATCATATTGATGGTATTGCTACTCTTCCATATAGAAATTTTCCATTTTGAATGATAAAACACAAAAATCGTAATTGGTCAGACAATAATAATATTAACATAATATTAGCATTAGTATTAGTATTAGTATTAGTAGTCGGCTAATTAGTCGATTAAAATAGTCAACTATAAATAAAAATCATGTATTTTTCCGCAAAAAACATCCGCAAATTTGCGCAGCATCATGAAAATATCCGTGGGTTGGGTGCGTAGGGTTTGTATTCATGAATACCGTTAGGGGGCCACACATGGTCACACACTATTAAAATCAAGCATTTTAAAGGGATTTTTTGCTGTTTTAATAGTGTGTAACCCCCTTAACGGTATTCATGGTATTCATGAATACAAACCCTATGGGTGCGTGTTATCTTATTTAAAAATTGATTTGGCGATTTGCGGATGTTTTTTTCGGAAACATGCATGATTATAATAATAACTAAATAATTGACTAAAATAATCGATTAAAATAGTTGACTATTTAGACGACCAAGATAGTTGACTGTTAGTATTAGTTGTTCAAAAAAAAGTTTAATCGAATATTTTAGTCGATTCCAACCTCTAAAATATGGAAACGATTTCAAAAATCTCCAAAAAAAAAATTACGAGTTTTGGCAAGAAATAGTGACACGACGAAATTCAAATTTTTTTTTGAATAATTCAATGGCAATGATCGTCATTATCATTGCATTAAATAATAATTTTTATAAGATGGATTGAGTTTCAGTTTTGAAACTTTATCCTTTAAACCCGCCAAAATAAAGAACCGCTGAACTTACTGTGTACACATTATAATAATAAGACGGGTTTGAAAATCTCTACTATGAAAAGATAAGATACGTAAAGGATCCAACATTACGTGATAACTAACCAATAGAAACTTGGGTAACAAATAGATAATTATGTGCCAAGGTGCCAAGTAAATTTTATTTTAACCAAACGGCAATTTAAATTCTTTCTAAAAATAATATACGTAAAAAAAAAATAATACAAATTGGAACAATGTCCATTATTTGTTAATGATTATTTTAATTCGATTTAGGGGTTCCTTATTCTTGGCAAATTAAAAAAATATCTATATCTGTCAAAGAGAGTAATTTTTAAAAATATAATTGTTGTACAATTTAATAGTGACCCTACTTAACCATTTTATGATTCCATAAAAATATAAAAAAAAATATGACGATTCAAACATGAATTCATATATAGTATATTTTGCAAAAAAAAAAACTTTTATATAAATAATAGCATTCTCTGATTTTTTTTTTCTTTAAGCAAATTTATTTATTCTATTTAAAAATCTAATAAAATATTTTGTTTAATTATAATAATAAAATCATAAAATCACGAAATCATGACAAAAAATTTGTTTGTTGTAATTGCTATTTTATCATCAGCAATATTGCCAATATTCATAGAGGCGCAAGGATTTACAGGCTATCCAGCAGTTGATGTACCACCACCGATGAAGGAAGAATGGAAGCTCGACTTATCTAATGTTCCAAATGCTCCAATTGTTGCAAAAAATAAAGTAGGCACGGATTGTCCTGCCAATGATCCATTTTGTAATTGGAGTTGTACAAACTGCGTGAATAATAAGACTGATTATATTCAATGTCCTGATAAAACTGGTAAAAATTAAAAATTCAAAAAAGTCCAAAATTATTTGTATTCATATTGTGAATTCATTATTAATTAATTTTCATGAAACATAGTATGGGGTATTACTTATGATGATGGTCCTTCGTAAGTGAAATAAACCAAACTACCTTTTCTTTTATCCATTTATATACCCGACAAGAAATAATAATAAATATTTATTTTATAAATTAATAAATAGAGAATTTACACCAAAAATTTTAGATTATCTTAAAGAAAAAAATGTAAAAGCAACATTTTTTATTGTTGGCTCTAGAGTTACAGAAAATCCTGAAATCTTAAACAGAACTTATAATGAAGGTAAATTGAAAATATCTATATATAAAATTAAAAAATTATAAATTTTGACGAATGATAATTTATAATTTATAGGACATCAAATCGGAGTCCACACTTGGTCACACACAGCATTAACAACTCAAACAAATGAAGAAATTATAGCTGAGATAAAATGGACTGAACAAATCATCAAACAAGTAACTGGCGCGACTCCTACCTTTATGAGACCACCATATGGCGATATAGATGACCGCGTTAGATCTGTACTTACATTACTAGGATATAAAGTTGTTATATGGGATCTTGACACAGATGATTGGAAGTCAACAGATCCAGGTTTTGTACCGGAGTCTATTACTGCAAAATTTACTGAATGGGTAAAAGATACAACTGCAACTACTGGTCATATTTCTTTGGAACATGATTTGTATCCTATATCTAGTAAAATGGCACTTCCATCCCTTGATATTGTTTTGGGTGCTAATTTTCAAGTAGAACAAGTGGCCAAGTGTATATCTGAATCTCCATATCGTGAATTTACTGGTTTTCCTGGTGATAATTCTACTAGCCCATCTCCAGCAATTAGTAGCACTTCTGCTAGTGTTGCTATGACACCAACTACTTCTTTAAATAACAATGTTGCTATAACATCAGCGACACCAACATCATTCAGTTCTAATGATTATTCATCATCATCATCATCATCATCACCATCAAATATTTCGTTAGTAGTAATAATTAGCATAATATTCACTTTATGTTTTAATCTCTAATATTTAATTATTAAAATGTGTATGTGTTTATGAAATATATTTTAATTTTTTATTAATATAATATAGAACAAATATTCATATGTATGTGATTAATTCCTATAAATATTGTTTTTGGTATACACAGTATATAATATAATAAATGTAATTACTTTGTATTATTAATCTTCAATATAACTCTCTAAATTTTTGTAATCGTTTCTAAACTAAAATTATTCTTGGCACGTTAATCCTTGTTTTATATTGATGAGACCCAAATTTCCGCCACAAATTCACACAATCTTTCCACACTATTACTATTATTATTAAAACCGGTCGTGTTATTTTTGCACATTTTCGATCAATGATTAATTAGTGACTGTTATTATTATTTATTACTTATTCTCCTAATTAAAATGTCGTTGATTGAGAAAATGCTTTCAGCGTTATAAAATTATAAGGCATAAAACGCCTGATTAATTTTAGATTGTCCATTTAACCGTTTGCAAAATCTGCAAAAAAATTTTTAATTAGAAATTTTTCTATATAGCAATTGGAAACCAGAAGTCAAATTTGGTAACATATTCTCTCTTTCTTGCCAATATCAAAATCTTTTTTAATGGGACTCAGAGCAATAGATATATAGGTAGCCGTGGGTTTGCTTATAACCTAAATTTGAAGGTTCGGTATAATAGAAATAAAATTATCATGCCTTCGTAAAGAACGACTTTTAAAATATACAAATTGTGTCCATATTATTCATGCTAAGAAGTTTTTTTTCGTTTGATAAAACAACCGAGCTTAATAGATGCTGTGGTGCTGAATTAGAGGTTGAACCGGAATTTTGAATTCTATTCTAAATCGGCAAAATTTAAGTGCTTTTTGCACAAAACTTACAAAACCTGTATGGTGCGCCGTATCTAAAGACATCAAATGCTGCGCCTCATGCCGAAATTTTTAACACCGATCTTTCCTGATTAAG